GTATCGAGAAACAGGTAAGCATCAAATCAAATACTGTTCAGGTATAGTTCGCGATTAAGAATTAATTCGAAAAACCCTAATATGGAATAAGCAATCCTTTCTGTCGAGCATATTGAAGATCAGGCACATGCAGCATTATTCATCACGGTAAAAAAAGCCATTGTTTTACTGTGGTGCGGAATCCGCGAACGCGATCGAACAAATAAACATTTCATATTAACTTTTGCAAAAAGCTATTCACTGACCATTACATCTACCCGGGTGTTTCTAACATACACCATAGTGCTCTTCACTGGCGCTGGGATCTAGGGAAATTACGAAGTAAGTCAAAGTGAGCATGCACTGGCTGCCCACGTGACCTTGCTTCTTCGAGTGAAACACCTAATGATACAGTTGGTCATTGCCACATCGTGGTTTTAATACATCTAGTACTATTTTGAGGTGTTTGCATTCATTAGTTCGAAGGGATTAGCTGTATACAGATACCTCTCACGTTTAGAATTACAAATATTTTACCTCACATGTTTAAATTAGTAAAAAAATTACCTCAAGTGTATAGAAATAATATTACGGCAAATTAGACTACAATATGTATTTCCTAAATGAACGAATAATTACTGTAATACAAAAAGCACCGGAAGTTCTCCGTATCTGTGCTCATCACTTGAACGACAGATCAGTCACGTCTATGCCTTTACCGGATATGGAAATTACGAGTCAGACCGAAGATACTACATCATTAGATGAGGTGCCTGATGAGTTCCTAAATTTGAAAAATCAATAATGATGGTTGTGGATAGGTAAGGCACTCATCTCATTGTCATCAATACCATCACCATTAGTACTGCACAGCTTTACAATTGTTGATCTGCATCATTCAACCTTTTGTGTATAATTCACTAGTAATTACCCGCATGTGATATTATGCATGGCCGACATTACGCAAGAATATGGAAAGTGATTGAGAGCTGACGAGTGGTGTACGAAATAATAGAAAACGAGCGAAGGTAGGGATTACCAAACCCTAAAATATATAAATAAAACCAAGGGAACACCACTACTTCGCAGATTTATATTTATTGTGGGGTATCTCGAACGTAACCTATGTTACAGGTAAAGGATTACTGTTAGTAACCAGAAGATAATTTAAGAATGATTCAATACGAAGCACGCCCCTTGAACGGCTGCGCTACAATTTCTCACCACCGTTGCGTTCTGGAATTTATCCACGGAGTGCGGAAAGTCCGAAGTACTTTTCAAGTATTCACAAAACTATATTGATTGATTGATTGTCATCTGTCATCCTAAACTCTCCCGCTTTCTTTTGTCGCCATCACTACTTTATACATTGCATCCCATTGCAGGTTATCAAACATTGACACATTTCATGATCGGTTCCTACCGTCTCTTGCTGATAGCTTGCACGTAATAGCTGATGAATGTAACCATGCCGGCACACATTTTTCTTGTCCAAACCTCGGTGACCTTGATACTGAACCAACTAGGGGAACCTCTCGTCTAGATCACATAATCACAAATCACACTGACACATTTTCTATCAAACGTTTCTCCACCTTATGCACCAATGATCACAACTTGACCCTGGTTAGACCCAAGACTTACTCAAGACGTTTTTCTTTTACTCGACCCAAACACATTAAGTTCCGTCAGAGAGATATTTCCACAGACAACATTGCTTTGCTAAGAGGGTCTCTTAAAATGGTAACTGATTGTTTTCCCTGAGATCCAACCTGCTTGTCCAATATAATATTTATAAAATGTGGTAAACCGTGTTTATGAAACATACTGTTCTGCGATAACTTTGTTCCTTCAACATGGCAGAATATCAACACCTTTCCTTAAAATTCTTCATCGTGAAAAGGTACGTGCATCTAAATGAGGCATAAGGGCTGAAACACAATGCCTATCTTTTCTAATCAATAGTTGAAGAAGACGGTTGGATTTTGTTATGCAGGACAGTGTTTTGGAACGAGGAACTGTAAATCTATGTGGAGTGAAATTAATCTAATCTGCAGGCAAAAAAGGGTGTTCCAGTCCCTCTATTGGTACTGAACATCTGAATGTTGCATTTATTCATTCTTCGTCCGGCACATATCCCAGTTATATTGAATCGAGATCTCCAAACATCCCATCTTGGTTTGAACTCCTTACCGTTAATTCAATGCATAAACCCATGCGTTCCCTCAAGGTGCCAACTGAACCTGTTCCATACAAGTGAAATCCTACGGTGCCAGGCCACTGTCGCACATTTTTACACAGCAAATTTTTCACTCGAACTTCTAACTATTCAGGATTGCTGGCACTCAGTAAGAATTGCTCTCATCCCCAAAGGAACGACAAAGGCCCCAACTGCAAAACGCTTCAGGTCACTTTCACTGGTTTGAAATTGGTTGAGCGGTCGGCTCTGCATCGCCTTCAGTTGTCTCTCATCACTCCAGATGATATTTATCAGTTTGCATATAAACATGACCGCTCCACATTGGATGCCCCTTCTGCTCTAGTTCACTTCATATGCAAATCCCTAAACGAGAAAGCCAACTATGTGCAGTGCGAATTTCTTGATTATTCTTTCGCTTTTGACTTAGTGCCCCGTTCACTTTTACTTAACAAGCCCCAATCGTTTGGTTGTTCGACTTCTCTTCTTAACTGACTCACTGATTACTTTTCGCAAATATATCAGCATGGTAAATTGGAAAGAAAACTGTCAACGGTATGACTCAATAGTTCTAGTATACTTCAAGGTTCTGTTTTATCAGACTATCTTTTTGCGAATTACATCAGTGTCTTGCGTATTTCTCCCCGTGTACGATATTTTAAGTATGCTGGTGATATCGCCATCATTGTTTCCGTATCTAACCAATCCGAACTGGCTGTATGTAGCACAAACTTATCCCACGTCGTTTCGTATTTCACTTCATCCGGTCTTAATCCCAAAATATGCCCTGAATATTTTCCCCATCTCCTTCGGACAATTTAGTTTTATGGAAAGCTAATGAGTAGAGCCAACCATTTGAAGTGCTTAGATATCACTCTTGAAAGTAACCTTCGGTGATCCTCACATATCCAAAATGTTGTTCGCAAACTGAACGTTCTTTTCTTTCAGATAAGAAGATTGCTTCGCTTCTGTTATAACTTGTCGGTGACGCTAACTGTTTCCAACGTGTTATCCCCATATCCCTTTACCGTTCACCGTTGCTTTTCCCTGGCTTGCTGAAGGTTGATTTTAATCTGCTGAGATGGTGGCCCGGTGGTAACGTCAACAAACCACTACCTCGGGGGACGTGTGTTCGAAACCCACCACCGCCTGACTTTTCCCATGGCAGTCTTTCGATTGGCCGCTTCCCCCTTCCTGAATATTATATCATTGTGTATTCAATAAAAGGAAGTAAAATTGAAAAAGAAAAGAAGAATCAACCGTGTCTACCAAGTTCCTTTACCGGTTCTGATTGACAATATCTGTGATGCTCATATTAAGGCGCGCTTGAATGTTGCTGAAATTATTCTATCCGATTGCTCCCATTCTTTACAAATTGACCTGTATGCATGCAAATCTCACCTCTTCATCAGTTCCAAATACAAGCTCATCCCATTTCGGATATTTGCTGCAGAAACTCTTTAGTATGCTATCTTCCCCGAATACTGACCGACAAAGAGAGAGCTCGTTCTGAGTTTTATAATGCAATTCGTAGTTAAGCACACTTTTGCACGCTTCACGTCCAACTTCCCCTTTCTGCCAGTATCATGATATCGGTATCTTTTGGGCTGAAGGTTTCCATATAACTCGCTGAAGCTTCAACACAGTGCAATGCAATCATCATTATGACTGCACAGCAAAATACAGTGAAACAACCCTCACTGACTATTGCCCGCCTGATATTACGTGCAAAGTGAGTGTGGATTTATGAGACGGATATGGATCGGGACTGTTTTGAGATAGATAGAATATGAGCGCATTTTAACTGCAAGCACTTCTCACACATTGTGGCTTGATAGGGAATAACGAAAAGGATGCCATTGCTTTCGGTTCTCCGTCATGTTTCGCAATATTTTCCACTAAGTAGCTACTCAGAGGGTTTCCAAACCCATCCAGGAAAACGAAAAATCCCTACTCCACCCAATCTCTCCAAGCAGAACTTCATTTCCCTCATCCACACATCATCTGTTCACCTGGAGCGCTAACTGCAAACAGTAGGCGAGGTAGTCAGGTTATTTGTCGAGCATGCGCAACAGAAAGCATTCAGCAGCAGATCAAATTGTTTTTTCTTAAGCATTCACCAAGTGGGTGGTGGTGGCGCAGTGGTTTAATCGCTGTCACCGGCGTGCTTTGGACCCTATGGTCCGAGGTTCGAACACTGCCACTACAACCCAACTATGGTGGTAGTCAGCTCTGCTGTCGTCCGGTTTAATACCACACCTAACCTATAGAGGCTTCATGTGCTTCGCCACTCCAAGTCCCGGGGATTAGGTTGCCGTTTTCCACCACTGAACAGAAGGGATTTGCCCAGACTGCTGTTTACCACACTCATGTGTGTAATAAAAAACGCCCGGAGAGTAACTGCTAGGGTCTGGTGCAAAACAAATATTGGTTTGTGAATAAAAGTTTCAACAATTTTGTCTTATTGTTCACCAATAAATACTGAAGGAAGGAAGAAAGAATCATTGATCGTGAGCAAGTGGCTTGAGTTGTCTTCACTGACTGGCCTCCAACCCAAAGGTCTGAGGTTAGAAACCCAACGTCGATGGTCAGCTTAGCTGTAATCTGGCTCAGTGTTACGCGTATGTAGTTAGCTGCTTGAAATTCCAGGGCTTATGTAACGAGTCCTAACACCCAAATAGTATAGGTGCATATGACTACGGGATTGTTCTGCTGTTCATCACACCGATTGGTCTAATAATATACATGTATATAGCAGCTATGAGGTGTTTAGTGTTGTATCGGTAATGTAAATCATTCCAGTGAATTAAATTTTTATATTTCCTCATGCCACTGCGGAAAACAATAGACGGAAATTGTTTAATTACAGAAATAGCCTAAAATTGAGACCCTCCTGTTTAAACCATTCACGAATCTCATTTCTTCTGTACATCAAGCTTGTAATAGTTTGCCATGTGGATTTAGTTGTAAAGGATGGCAACAACTGAACACGTTTTGTTCGTCATACTTACACAATATAAAAGGCATGGGATATGGTATCCAGTATTGATAATTCTGTTCCCTGAATTCTCAGTGAATGTGTCTGAAGATGGTGCGATTTGCCAAAAGTCATAACGAAAGATACACCAATGATCCTAAATTAACTCATAAGTAAAATTATTTGGGATGGAATCACGGCCATTGGGGAATAAATGATATAGGACACATTCAAAAAGACTCCAAGAATGTATTTCACCAACAACAACAACAACGATGTCTAAATTATAAATTTGTCTGTGCAAGCTTTGTGTCGCGATGCAAAAAACTTATCATCATTTTTCATGATGAACGCAATAAATCAGACCAACCTATCGCAGTAGCATCGTTTCTAGGTAGCACAATCTCGCTCTTGTCGCAAAGCATAATTTAAGAGCTATCTTTCGATGCTGCTGTTCATAGGAATGGCTCAAATAACCGGATTTCAGTGGAATACGTGAATATAATTTGCAATACAACAATAATTAAATTAATTGAATGCATTCGTCCTTATCCTATATAACTCACCGGAAGCCAGAGTTACTTCATCCAAATTTGCACGAATTGGTTTGCGTGAATAATTCAGCCTCCATGCCTCTGGTCCATTGTTACCATTATTCCACGGTTCGTTCAAGAATGAGTCACTATCAATGAACGGCATATCCCACTGAGAAAACATATCATCCAGTTCTTTGATCGATCTACGATCGTGAGCGTTTGAAGCTGTGGGGCAACTATCAGACCAAACGAATTGCGTGTTCTGATTCAGCAAACGTAACTGACGCAATATTTCCTCTGTTCCGGCCGAGGTGATTGCCTTGGGGATTGAATGCCCCATGCGACCCCGTCTGATAGTGTCTAATCCGGACTCAGATAGTGCCTCATTCACTTCATTATCATCTAAATCCTCCTCCTCTACCACATCTTCATCATCATCATCGTCATCATCACAACCATAATCGTAGAAACTGCGTCGATCCAACTGATCGCTATCACTCTCTGCCTCCGAGGGATCGAAAAACCGCATGTGCATCGTAGGTCCAACACGGCTTGATTGAAATCTTCTTCTAATCGGTGAGTGTTCTATCGGACCACCGGAAGTCGAAGATGCTTGATTTCCCGAGGACTCATTGCTCAGTTCATCTATCAACTCTGGTCTGGCGCGCGTTTTTTGCTTCGCCGTGTTTTGCATGAACTGGTTCAACTCTTCATCTGTTTTGGCCAACAGTTCACTCACTCCGACCACAGCAAATGAACGTTGAATGGGTCGTGGATTCGGATTGGATTTCGTTTTGTCATTCAAATCACTGGTAAGTAATACTCGATCTTCTGGCAGTCGCGAGATAGTCGGTTTCGCTAGACTAGACAACCAAGTTCCACCTGAATCATTTTTTCCGGCCATGGCACTGTGAGTAGCGTAATAATGGGCTAGTGGAGTCGAATTGGCAATCCACAGAGGACTACCTTTAGCCTGACTGTCCGCAATGCTTGTTCCCGGTGGACTCTTTCGTACAGTACCAGGCTGGTCAGAACCCCGCTCCTCGGACGGTATTCGAGATGTTGAGTGTGCGCTCGGTACATCGGTTGATGTCGTATGAGTTTGGGATAGGGGGGTGTTGGTGGTAGACGGTATACTGGTGCTGTTCGATCGACCTTTGCCGAGGGAGTTCGATGTGAAATTACCTTCATTAGATAATGTGTGATGTTTGCTAATCGGACGCTTTGTATACTCGGGTATGAATGTGGACATGTAGGCTGGATTTTCAATCAACACATCATCGTGATTTTCCATTGTGCCGTTTACGGTTTGGCCCGGAAGGGAATGAGGAGATAAACGACCGTGTGTTGCAGAAAGCCAATTCGTGTGTGACTGTAATGATGTGGAATAGTTGAACATCGGTGTACCACGAGTACTTAAATAACTCGAGGTCGCCGGATTTACAAAGGTTTCCATATTGGAGTTGAGCATGGGACTGGGGTGTGCACCAGGACCGGTGACTGACTGAGGCACACTAGTTCCGACCAATGGGTATGTGGGTTGAAAAGTTTGAGAGGTGAATGTTGAATGAAAGGATTGACTCTTTGGTATTCTAGTCACATCAGTCGCATGTGTTGTGGACAATATTTCTCTGTAGGAAAGAGTCGGTTGAAATGGTGGGTTATTGTTCTGATTGACTGGTTTGACACTGGGCCTTGGGGGAAGTGGGGGTCGTGTGAGAGCGGTTGAAGTTGGTGTTGACATGTGTGTCACACCCATGGAACTCGATAATCCCTTGGACTGTCCGAATAGTAGTTCGGGAAGTCCGTGACGAGGGAATTGAGGTTTTGGTGGGGGGATCGGATCGAATTCCATCGTTCGTGATTTGGATGAAGTTGAGTCGCAAAATCGTGGTAGAATGGGACGTGAAACAGCCGGAACCGAAGTAGTTTGAGGAGTGCCGAGGTCCGATACATTGTTGGTTGTTATTTGTGTCGTGTCTTCTGAACTGGTTGTTTTAATGTCTGGTGTTATATTGCCACGAGTTACGATTCCTTGACCAGTTGGTTTACCATTAGCGTTTGGCCGTTTACATTCCATAGGATTTAAAAGGTTTTCACAAATGTTCGGACTGGGGGGAAACGAATGAGTGGTGGTCCTTTGAGGCACACGAGGCGTAACATCGTTTACAGTAGGAGGCGATGAAGTGAGTGGATTTTCACTCATGCTAAACGTCTGATTACGGGGCTCCAATTTCCAGACAAGTTTCTCGTTTTCTCCTTCCGCCGATAGCACCAACACTTCTTCACTTTTTGTATCCTGTTCGTCCGACCAAGCTCTGAACGGATTTAACCGGTTCTCCAATGGTTCAAACAAGCCATCAAAGCCAACTCGAGGGAGAGTGGAATGGTCGGATATGTTGCTAGAGCCGATACGCTTAATCGTCTCCGACCGACCTGGAGTCTGGTCTAACGCAGTTCCCTCACACCATCCGTCATCCTCTCCTTCATCAGCCGGTAAGTCTGCCTCATCGTAACTTTGATAATCAGAGGTTTTGATAAGTTCATCTGTGGTATTTCCTTCAGCAGCTTTCGTCTGTATTGTATTTTTTGTATTGTCCATATCTGTGGTAAACGTTTTTCCTCCGTTCTGTTTTGGGGTCAGTTGTCCCGCGTTCTGAGTCACACTGAGCTTCTCAGAACATTTGGTTTTCGTGAGAGGGATTAGAAGATTGGAGTAATCCAAAAGATCTTTTCGAAAAGCAGGAAATGACTGAATGGGCATGGGAAATACTTCCTCATAGTCTGGACTGTCCAATTCCCCAATCATCAACGAAGGATCTACGCGAACCAGTGAGCTGGTGGCTTGCTCCACGCGAATCGGTTCAAACGGCAAATAATCACTTTGTTCGAAACTGGCACTCCCGTCTTCTGACGGTTCAAACTCGCTACCCTCCTCAGTGATGGTTTCCAAGAACGCATTATTGTATGATGATAGTAAGGGTAGTTCGACGAATTCTTTGCCCGACAGAGGATTGGATAGGCCATGCCAATTGGGTTGAGCTGTACTGGTGTCCGACATCCCCGACAGAGCGACCACGTGCACTGAACGGCACGTAATATGCACAGTTGGTGGAATTTAATGCTGGTTTGCACTGCAAAACTAATTGAGCCTTCGCCTCCCGTCTACTCCAGTGAGTTAGTTACTACAGGTGACGGGAGACGAAGGCCAGGCTCATTTAGCTCGCCGCCGGTTCCACATAAATCCACATGGGATGGATAGTGTGTGATGTTGAACGAGGACAGTGTTACACGCTGGAAATGGTATACAGTTAAATCCGCCTCAAAATTGGATACAGGGTGAAGTACTGTAATCGACCGTAAGAAAAAAGTGGGTTAGCACAATCAAGATGACAACAGCACAACCGATTCAGACAATTGCAGAAGATAGAGTATATGAGCGAACTAGGCACGAGACAGTCACCGGGTCGAACGCACACATCCACACCCATATATAGTCAGTCACACAACTAGTGACAAACCGTAGCTACACTCGTACGCAAGCACGCACGCGCGTACGTAAGCGCGCAAGCACACACACACGCACCACGTGCTCCACCCAACTCTGTCTCTCTCTGTTGGTCCCATGTTGTGTCCGTTTGTTGCGCAGTCTGTCCGTCCTGCGGCATTCAGGGTCGACCTGTTTGTTCAACCATCGTCCAACTGCACGTGTCGGCTTACCTACTATAACGCCTATCTCTGAATCTGTTCCCCTTACTATCTACCCTTTCATCCACAAAATCTACTCCACCCCCGACAGCCCATTCCGACCCCAGTGGCCGTCGTTCAGTTCAGTGACCTCAGTCGAAGTGTGGAGAAGGGCGTTGTCCCAATTGCCACTTCTTGTTCTTTATTATGAGGGTGATTGGGTTGTGTGGCCTTCAGATCAGAGGGTGTGCGACAAGAGGAATCAAGCGTGCATCAGGTACTCTCTCCCTTTGTGTGATAGTTTGCTTGTAAGGTGTTCGTGTGCCTGCTTGTTTATAGTGCGGACTACTTTATCACACGTTCTTATAAATACATACAAACAACCGTGGTTAGTACGATCTCAAGGTAACTTCCGGTATGGAACCAGTACCATTGACGCCGCTACAGAATACCTGCATCCGAACACACGCATGTGAGTGTGGCAGTAGCATGAGGAGTTCTTTGTCGGTGAATGTTTGATTCCGGGTAATCCTCAAATGGGGGCGAGGGGAACATTTATCACATACACGTTACCGAAATCTGGTACTGCTAGTGCAAGCCAGCAGTTCGTTAATAGACACGTGATTGTACTAGGTGGTTGCATCACGTTCGATTGGATTGTGGCCCTAGGGCTTTGAGTTGCGAGCACAGAGCGAAACACAGTGTGATGGCACGCATTCATGGGAATTGAAATCGATCGTTACGTGATGGATGCATTCGAGAAATACCTCAACGTCTGATCGGTAACTTCTATCATTTTTTGAACTCGATTTATTCTAAATTAATAGATACTAGTGTCTTGTACAGTGGATTTCGTCGTTTACTGGGTAAAACAAGCGAGAACTGAAATACTAAGACAGATACTGGACAGATGTTTCAACCTAGTTGGGTTTCATCAGTAGTTCGAACTCATCGATCCAAATGGAGACCGAACCGGGGACCTAATGTATAGGACACCTGACCTCCAGGCAGATCAGCAGACAGGTTTCATTTTGCTGATACACGATACAGCACAACCCTTCTTTGCGAGTTTGTGTCAGGAATTGCAGCCCGCTCATCTCAGCCATATTGTGTATAGGCTGAAAGAAAAGGTTTGAAGTGAACAGTGGAGGAGTTGACTCAATTTCAAATTTGAATTCACCGTGTATATGTATGTGTATATAGATGGGTTGTAGTGTAAATGAAAAATTACAAGCGGTCTGATCGGCTTCCCGGCGACCGAGTGGGTAGCATGCTTGCGTTCTGCTCATAAGGTCCCGGGTTCGGTCCTCGGTTGGGTCGATGGATTCGTACTGCTGATGAGACCCAACTAGATCGAAACAGCTGTTCAGTGCTTCCTAGCTTTTTAGTTCACGCTTCATTTGCTATATACACGACGAATTCACCTTTGAAAAATAAACAGTTTCATCAGCTACCCCAAGAGCATTTGTGTGGTATGCTTGTCATCTAATCGTGAGTTACCTCATTTGATCCTTAGTTAACCCGATGCATTCACAAAGCTGATAAGAGCCCTAATCAGGTTGAAACAGTGAGTGTACAATGAGTGCTTCCCAGCTTTTCAGCTCACGCTTCAGTTCCTCTGTACACGACAAATTCCACTATATAATTGAATCAAAAATCCGATACTCTTATATATACTCTATTTCACTAACTAAAAAACTACCACCTGGTCAAGTGTCCTCTTTGGAGATGCAAACATTTAAAAATTCTCTTACGAGATAATTTGTGCTTTATACCGAGAGTAAATTGGCATATTTATCCCAATCGCGTGGGCTAGATTATAAGCTTACAAAGAGATGCAGCGTAAACGTGTACGAACGAAATGATTTACAATAGCTTTAATTTCAGCTTTTGTAAGAAGAACATTCCGGGAAACTAAAATCGTCCCACTCATCAAAGAGGTATTCTTCAAAAAAACAGACCACGGAGTATTTGGTGTATATTATTCACCATTTGTATAGAATCGAGTGATTACGGAGCGTCAAAAATCGAAATTGTTCGTTTGGTGATATACGCATGGAAAGAAAAACGGCATATTTCATGGGCGAGACCTAGCCATCAGATCGGCGCCACAATATTGCATATTCCTTTCCTTTTTTGTGGGGGGGGGGGTGACGTGGACGGCTCCCAATGCCCCAAACAAGTTCTGGGGTTGACTCACTCGTAACGACCATTCAGCGAACACAAATAGGCGATGTGACCATTTATGGTATCGCGGCTATGATATGTCGCGCTTGACTGCAGACGAGACGGAAACCGACCAGATTTCAACACAGTTGGTTAGAATTCAATCAGCTCATATTGCTAGTATTGTTTTTGGTTTTGCCGTCAAAATGACATGGTTGAGGAGACCAGTTCTCCATTATAAAAGCAAAAGCACCATAATAAATGGCATTTAAGCCAGTGCGCACCTTCGACATTGAGTTATTTCTGAGAAGCGTATGATCCTATAAAAGTGTCCTTTTTGACATTTTGAAGGGAATCACCGCTCCCCTTTCTTTTCCAACTGCAACAACTTGATAACACTTTGCGATCACAGTGACGCACTATGAAACAGAGTACCAAAAGACGATCCCATTGATTTCAGAAAATTCTTGACCAACATGGTGATTTGCACCATCGAAAGTTATCGACTGGGTTACGATGTTCGTTTCAGATTGCTAGAATTGATTTACGCGCATTCAGAGAGAGAGAGGTAACTACTCATTACATCAGGGTCAATCCAACTGATCGGAGTGCGAACATATCGGTTTAGATCTGCATAACACATGCTGAATTGTGCCCGGAACTAGGTTAGAGATTGGTTTTGAGATCAAGGCGAACGGGAATGCAACAGCAGTGTGGTAATCCGTTTATTTGCGCAATTCCGCCCGCGCTGCTCATGTTCTGCATTTATGGTGTTTTCCAAAACCGGAACAAAACAAAGTGAACGCTAAATTCTGAATAGGGCAGACAGAATTCGCATTGTTCATCAGGATGTATCGCAAGATGACAAATGTGTACGTTTAGATGGTACTTTCTGTCCAGTACGTGCTCCAACGTAAAATAATGTATGCATAAAAATGAAAGGGTTTTCTATGCATTGCCGTTCTGCACAGTGCCACACAGTGCACTTTGCAATTATTAAAGTGTCATCACCAGTGTATTTGCAACCAGCGAGTTCAGAAGAGTAAATTAAAAACCGCCATCCTGAGAGATCGCTCAAAACACAAGAACCCCATCAGCACCAACTACATTGGAATTTTGAAAAGTTATGTCCGTATAGATGCAGCGACTTGCTTCTAGATGCGTTATGCAGATCTGTGTTTTGTTATACATGTTTATGTTTGTCTTATTTCAACAATCCTCTCCAAATCCTTTCTTCGATATTCCGATATATATAACTATGCATTACGATAAGTAATATGTAAATGAATGGGTAAAAGTTCACTGGAAGAATACGAGCGGTTTCGCGGTTCTTGCGGCTTTTCAGACACACGTATCCGGTAACCGCCTCATTCAAATACTTTTCGTCGCAATAAACTCATTTGCAACACCAAGTAATTTTGTTTGGATAGTTCTTCCAGAACCAGTCCGTTTATGAATCAACGCTTTGATTCGATGTTTATTGGTGGATTAGACGCTACTAACCGCAACAAACTCGGTTTAGGCCTAGGTGTTGCAAATGGGGTTATTCCGACGAAAATAGATTTCCTGGGTACAAGCAAATGAATGAGGCGACAAAAGACTGCCGGATACGCATGCCTGACGAGCGGCAAGAACCGCAGAACCGGTCGTGTTCTTACAGTGAAATTTTGTCTAGTCATTCACATACTGCTTATTATCAAATATTGAATATATATATATATATATTGAAGGCCACATTTGTTGATGTTGGTAGCATCCGACCCACCTACAAAGATCGAATCATAACTTGATCCATTAATGGACTGGTTCTAAAAGAGCTATCCAAACGAAAGTACCGAGTGTTGCAAATGAGGAGAATATATATATATATATATATATATATATATATATATATATA